AAACCTGGTTTCCGGACTTCTGCTCCAAATGTTCTTTCCAGCACCTTTTCCCACTTTCTCTCCAGCAAACTTCAGGAACCATGCAAAACTCACTTAATAAAAGGCCCTCCCCTCCACAATTTCCTCCACAACCTCTCAGAATATAGGCCTAAAGCGTATGCTTTGGTTTATTCAGTATGATGTCAAAACATATGACTGGCTTCGTCAACAAATTTGAGAGGAGAAACAATGAAGCCAGTTTTTTGCTTAGGTACAGACCAAATCAATTGAACAGGGTAACTCTCTTTTTTTCTCTCTCTGTCTCTCTCTCTCTCTGCCCTTCCCCTGCTCACCAGCTGTCTCTCTCAAAATAAATAAATACACTTTAATTTAAAAAAAAATCCCATGATACTATGGTAGAAAAACACCCTTAATGGTGAGTTATTGAAAGAACCATGGGGGAGGGGCGGCTAGTTGACTCAGTTGGTAGAGCATATATGACTTTGTATCTTGAGGTTGTGAGTTTGAGCCCCATGTTGGGTGTAGAGATTAGTCAAAAATAAAATGTTTTTTTAAAAGGTAGGGAAAGAACCTTTTTTCCCCTAGGTTTTAAACATTGTTTCATATTCTACTGGAACCCTGAGAAAAGTAAAGCATCAATTGCTTGCTTTTACAAGAACAGATGAGTGCTAAACCTAATTTTACACAAAAAGATATCTTCCTCACAAGTTTGGCATGCAATGTGTAGAAATTCACACATTATATTTACTGTGTGTGCACATAGATGGATTTATATCTAAGCTTGTTTTAGATGCATTGTGAGAGCTCATTATTTCCAGGCATCCCAGACATAATCTTTTTTAAAGCAATCCTTTGGAATAAGTGATTTATATGTTTTATAAGTCCAAATTTTCATACATTAGGTTTTCTTAAAGTATACCAAAAAAGAAAAAAAAATCATTATTTACTCTCATGAATTATGATCAAGACAGGCTTAGCCTTTTTTCTTAATCCCCAAGCTTTAAAAAATAGGTCCATTCCTAAACCAAGTATTTTTATATAAACCTATGTCCCTGCAATGCCCACAGTTTTCAGTAACCTATGTTACTTGGAATTTTTAGTTAGGAAGATACCAGGACAATAAATGACTGCTTTATACCTTTAGCTTCATTTTAGCCTTCCTATATTCACACCCTAGAGGTTCCAGAATCTTATCCACAAAGTGATTATGGTCTAGGACTGAATCAGATTTGTAACAAATGTCCACGGGGATTCTTCGACCTATCATCGATGGGTACAGCCGATATATGTCTTCTAGCTCATCGAATCCTATCACCTTACCTCAGGGACTTTCCACAATGCTACAGGGTTAGAAGCCTTCTTTCACAGATGACAAAAATGGTTGAAAAATGATTTCAGAATAGAAAAATGGAAACCCAAGTCATTACATAGTGTCTAAAGGCTACCCTGCCTCTCCCACCTTAGTGCTCAAGAAAGCATCCTGGCGTGTACAATGAGGGATTTTTTTTCTTTAAGGTTTTGAGTTTCATTTTCTCTAATTTTATCTGATTACTGACATGCTCCATTTATATTAACACTTCCACACATCCAGCCACACAATAGCATAAACTTCTAACAGCAATCTAGCTTAGAAACGATGATTGTTTTAATTTTTCAGAAAAAAAAATAAGGCACAAAGTTAAGAAAATGAGATTTCTAGTATGTTTTTTTTAATAAATCTTACCATATCAAAATGAAACTAACAGAAGTCATGCAATCATGTATAAATAAAATACAGACCCTTACTGTTTCTCTTAAAAGGTAATTTAGCATGTCGCTTTTTCCTTTTTTGCTCTTGTCTTAAAATATATTTCCTCTCAAAAAATAAAAATAAAAGTGCTTCCAAAGAGAGAGAAGAAAAAATTACCACTTACAATATTTTGATGCTACAAGCTATACAAAAAATCTGTCACCATCTATGTTACAATTCTAGTCATCAATAAGGTACTTTTTTTCGATGCACCACTCAAAAATCAATTATATCAACTCTTTTGTATAGAGAAGCGGCACACCTTTCAGGCAACTAGTATTAATGAGTAGACATGACTATAGAATCTCCATCTGTTTCTCTGACAAAGCTGTGGCTACTCTAGTCTCTCATTGAAATTCCATTAATCTGGTGTACCAAGGTCCAATGCGAAAATCAAAACTTCATCTAACCCTTTATCAGCTCACAATAACCTACAAGTGAACTCTGCCTGTTAGCATGCAGCAAGTTATGATTTTGCCATCAATCAGGCAGTTGGCCAATAAAAAAAAAAAAAAAAAGGCAGGCTGGAAACAGTGTGTCTGGCAGGGTTCGAAGACTTTGTTTTTGTTTTCTGTTTTCATCCCCTTTCAATTTCTATAGGGTGTCTGGACCTTGTGAGATTATGCATTATTCTCCTTGGCTGTGATTTAATTGCTACCAGCAATCAAGTCGAAGCATCACTGAAGTGTGCTTGAATTTCATTAGAAGATATAACTTATGCTACTTTCCTACAGTACCTAATAAACCATAAAGAAACCAAAACACATATGGCTTGAGGGAATAACTGGAAAATTAGGTAGCCATTTGGGAACTGAGTGAACTTTTGAACCAGAGTAACAGAGAAAAAGAAATATTAAAGGAAAAGACAGACTTAGAACGCACACAAAGATGTGCAGGTTTGACCTTTTCAGTACCTTGAAAATTACATTAGCATTATGAAAAATACATATCATGTTTAGACTTTATCATCCATCAAAGTTCAGATACTTTGTTAGTGCCTACCATAAGGTAAAAGTCAAAAGGACAAAACAACAATCTGATTTGACAAAAGGCCTTTTGGTGACCTGTGCTAATTTCGTTATACTTATTGTTAAATGCATTATCTTTTTATAATTAATATATCATTAGACCGAGGTCCCATAAGGAAGGAATATTTATTCGGCAAGGAAGAGAGAGCACATACCAAATCTATGTTGAAGGCAGAGAAACTAACATGACTAAATGAGATTTCAGAGTAGAAATTAAAAGTGCAAGTGGTAGTTTTGAAATTAATTCATAACATTCTTAGAAGAAAATATAAAACTACCATATATGGTAGTTTTTATATACCAAAAATGAATAATACTATAAGTTAAATATTCAATCTGCTTAAGAACTGCTTATACCAACACTAATGAAAATGCGCCAATATTTAACAAAAAATTTAATGTTATACATAGTATGTTATTACATAATATTCAAATATTGATAATGTAATCCTTTAGCAATAAATCTTTTTCATGCTATTACTGTATTTCCCATATACTGGGATATGAAAACAAACATACGATAAATTATTTACTCATAATAAAGAAAATACAATAATTATGTAAACACATTACAGTTTAATAACAATTCACTTTTCTAACAAAACACTGGCTCTCCTAGGTATGTAGTTGTTGGATTTCTTAGGTGATGGTGTTTTTAAGAATGCACATAATGCTTTCTTGTACTTCAAAATATTCATGCTATTTTTTAAAGCTCTGGGCATATAAATTCTACAAACATTTTGTGTGTGTGTTTATGTATATTCTCTTGAGTAGAAATACTCTGTCTCTGAATACATATACATATACACACATACTCATTTCTATCTACCAACACTTAACAGAAGCAAAACAAATCATTGTAACACGTCTGAAAAAGAGTTCAACTCAAATAATAATTCATTGTTTTGCCTGAAAATATTGTTTCATCAGTTATAAAACATTTTCTAACAGAAATGCTTTTGAAGATCAGGTTAGGAAGGGTAATGCTCTGCTTCAGATAATAAGTGTGACTCCAGAGAAAGATGCATCTTGTTCAAAAATAGGGAAGATAAGGGGGAAAATCTCTTCCTTTAAAAATAGAAATTAAATTTTTGCCAAAATGTAAAATTCAACAGAAAATGGATGTGATTATTATTGCTACACATTGTACAAAGTTCTGAATATAAAAAAAAAAAGATTGTGTTGTTCTGAATCAGTGGTTAGAATGTTTATCACTTATGCATGTACTTGACTTATCCCTGTTCTGCAATAGACATAATTTTATACCTCATAAAAGCAATTTATGTTTCCAAAGGGAATAATCTGGATAACATAAAATGTGGAGTGCTCTGTTGCAAGAAGCATATTTTCATTCAGCAATTGTATTTAGAGATGGAACTGCACAGTTTGATCATCATCCAGTGGCAGAAGGCATTATTCATTTCTGTGTCTACGTGAAACTTTGAGCGCCACGAATTAATATGCATGGCTAATTTATCGATACACATTCTTAATTTATAACTATACATCGCCCTTCTAAGGTCTCTATAAGGTGTCTACCCTCACCTTGCTATAGCAGAGAAAGCACATGCTATACTGAAAGGAAGTTTCATAACTTGGGCAAGTTTTAAAAAAATAACTAGGAGATAAGCAATCAATTTCATTACTAATTCAATTAATACAAAGCATCATAATATGGCTGCATAACATTCAGAGAAATGAAAATGCGTATTAAAAGAAGCATTTGATGAAAACCTGTCTTAATGTGAGAAGGCAATGGAGGAATAATTAATTTAATATTTTATGAACTCGTTTTCTATGAAGTTTTCAAAAAAAAAGAGACCAAAAACCTTTTTCATTATTTATAAAATAAATAATACAAGAAGCCGTTAAGCAGCACAATAAAATTAAGCAAGAATCTGATAATATTAAATTAACCAACAAACTTACTAATAATATTCATACAGTGATGTAAACAGTCTCTTAAAAATTCTAGTGAAGAAAATTTCTTAGGAAAAGAAGGAACTACATACTTAGGAAAACCACTAGAGAGAGCTCTTCTGTTCCTTAAAAGGTTCTGGTAAAGGTAAGTTAACGAAGCCTCTCCATTTCTGTGCTTTCTGACAAGAACCACCACCTCTACACATCACATTGTCTTGGGTTGGAGGGTCAAGAGGTACGTTCAATGGGAAAATATCACATACCTTCAGAATGGGCTTCATCATCTTTATCATATCTTTCTGAGGCTAATGAAATCGTGTCTGGGGGTCCAGCAAAAGGATCATCATATTCTTCCCCATCTTCTGCATCCCCTATAGAAGAATCAGAGAAAAGTCTTATATGAATTAGCCATCTTAAAAAATGTTACTTTGTCAAAAGACGTACATTTTTCTATTAAACGTAGTCACTGACTCCAAAATTATGACGGTCTCTACAAAAGTGATCACAAAAAAGCAGAAGCAGGGTAAACAAGAGTGTGTATTCAAAACAAACAAAAGAAGAAACGGAACCAAAATAATGACAACAAACAACAATAACCCCCAAAAAATGGCAAGCACAACAGAGAGAATAATTCAAATTAATTCTATTTACCTACCCAATAATTTGAAAAGTTATGATGAGATATTGATCATTCAGGGCCAGATGAACACTTTATGTTTTCATGAAAAATCACAGGGTTACATTAGAGTAGATTATAAATGCTCAGTTGCATTTTCAAGAGCAGGAATCCTTTATGGGAAAAACTACTTTAAAACTCATATAACGTTAGCTTGTTAAGTTCACGCAAAGTGATTTACAACTTGACACCTTCAATTCTCATTCAGTGATACATTACCATTTTTTTTAATGTTCTAGCCATTTTCTATATGATTTCCAAATCCTAGGTGAGTTGGTTGGCTTGAAGTCATTTAATCCCCACAATAAAATCTTGTGGTTTGGGTTTTTTCCACACACTCACTTAGGATTTTTTTTTAAAGCTGTATCAGGTATTTGCTAGCCTGTTTACGCAGTTACAGATAACCACTCATTCTTCACCCATATTCAACCACATCCAAAGAAAAGTCAATGAAATTAAAAAATATATATATGCTTAATCCTCTATCAATTATCTGTGAACAACTCAAGAGAAAACCAGCCACCTCAGGATTACCCAGAAAGCATAATGAAAATCCCCATGGGAATCCAAGAGAACCTACAGTAGCACTCTTAGACCATAGTCGCTAAGCAGATCCAGATTAAAGCTACTAGTCTCTCCCCTAAAAATACCTGTATCCGCTGATACCCATTTATTGGGTAGCACCCTATGTTTCACCATATCCTTGGTAGAGGAAATAGCCCTTTTCAAAATAAAACACTGTCAAAGTTATTTTTTAAAAATCAGTGCTCATCTCTATTTCTTCATAATTTTGGCATTTCACCGGCATTCATCTTCCTTATCCTGAAAAAGACAGAGACCTCCCATCGGGCGCTAAATACAGAATGGAGAGGACTATTCTACAGGTTTTAGTGATTCCACCACCAGATGCATCATATGGTGATGCTCCTTCCCCAAATGAACATGTGTAAATACCATTCTTTCTTTAGATCTTAAGTTCTTTTTCCTTCAAAATGTTTGTGATCCCTTATTTCTCTTATGGAAAGAAGAATGCTCTGATTTCAAATATGAGGTAAGACAGAACCCCATAAAGTGCTGGTAAAAAATATGTTTGGACATGGAATGACAGCTCATGGAACATAAAGGAGTAAAGACCACAAAATTCTCAATTGCTGTTAGTTGCTGGAGTATCCTTACATTCTTAATAAAGTAAAAATTGTTATGGTATGAGTTTTCTAATGATATTTCCTATCGTGAATTATAAAATCAATCTTGCCATGGAAAAAAAAGTATCAGGATACCTCAAAGACATTACCCTAACTTGTACTTAGCTTAGTACACTATTATGAATACAAAAATACAAGATTAAAACCAATGAACACATGGAAATGATTTTGAAAAAGATTCAGATGCTCAGGCTTAAACCTATTAAACTGTGTCGAAATACACAGAAAAATTAAAAGTTAAAAACCTTTGAAAATCAGGGTATTTTTATAATATCCACTCTATGCTTTTATGTGTGTATCCATGAATATACACACACCCACATGCACACACACATACACACCCAGCAACATAGATCTGTGTGTATATATACACAAACAGCAAAAAGATCATTAAAGCTATTAATTAAATAATACTTAATATGAGTTCAGAACGTTTATACAAGTTGGTTCTTAACATGCTAAAGACTTCTAAGACATGTTTTAAAACAAAAACTTTTTATATTCTATATGAACATGAAATGGTCTTCAGCTTACCCATTCCAAGAACTGCAGCTCATCTCAAATGGTTTTTGTAATCAATGTGATCATTTATATTTATCTAAAACAAAATAAATTAAATACTGCTACTGGCTTCATTCTCACCCCCCTCCTTTTTTCCCCTTTTTTAAGCTCCCTTGAATTAACCCAGAAAGTTAAAAGAAGAAGAAGAAGAAGAATCTCTCTTATTCCCTTTTCAAACTGCATGAAGTTGAAAAGACACATCATTTTTCAAAATGGTCTTCTTCATTTTACTGTTGTTCCAGTGATGATCCATCCCTTCTCCTCCTTCCTAATTGTCTTTTTTTTTTAACCCAATAAAGAGCTGTATTACAAGCACCTTTAAGTGAACACAGGGGTCGCTGTTGAGTAGTGCAAAGCTTTTTTTGTTTTCTCCCCAGGGGCTGAGTATTTGCAGCTATACCTGCAAAGTCTTCTATAAATTAAAAGGTAAATGTTCAACTTGTGTTTATGTAATAGAAAACTGAACTCCAAAGCAACAATGAGCATCAGGTAAACGTATCCAATACAATTTACAGACATAATTGAAAGCATTATAGCCTAATCAGACATCTAAAAGAAAAGCAGGCTCAAATGAAATGTCTACAGAATCATTAGTTGGCAGCCATTCCATTACAATCACACATAATGTCGGTGGTGCCTTGAGCCTGGGCCAATGACAACAGCATAAATTTTGCATCTCATTTCTGTGGTCATAAAATTAATGATCAGTTTAAAAATACTTCTTTGTAAAAGTTATTGCACAAAGAAAAGACATGAATGTGTCCCTGCTATGTACTCACAAGGATAATTATGGGGTTGTTGCTCATTAATACTGTTTCTTGTTTCCCTAGAAAACCATTTGATTTATCCCACAACTTTTAAAAGTTTAATTAACGATACAAAGTTAACAGTCTAAAAGAAAATGATCCAAGACTTCCCTTCCTATAATTTCAGCGGCAACTTAAATATCACAGCAAAATCAAAGCTGAATCGTACCACAGCAGCATATTTCTCTGATAAACATTTTTAAATCTATAATAGTTGGGTTCAAATCACTATTATCCCTTTTTTTTTTCTACAGCTCATCATCAATTAACATTTTCCTAAACACCTGGAGATGAAGCCCAAATAGCAACTGAACAGTCATGATCTCTACTACGATTGAAGGTGATTTAACCAATTTACTGCTTGTTTTGTCAGAGTCCTATTTTAAACACAATCAGGTAAACATTAAGCTAAATAATTAATAAACCTAAAACATAGATGATAGCCATTCCTCCTCTAGAGCATGAAAGACAAACTTGAGGAGAAAAATTACTTGACGAAAACAAATTAATTTCTAATTCTCTACTCAGTTTACTTGTCCAGATTAATTTCTCAAGTAATAATACACAACTACATTGACAGAATTAAGCATTTAACTTGTCATTTCTTAAGGGGATCTGTAGTTGAAGTCTTAAGACTTTGAAAGATTTAGGTCACCACAAGTAAGAAGTTTCCATTTGGAACTCTTCTATAATAAGAGGGCTTAATAGTATGTAAATATGAGGCAGAGCTTTAAAACAAGAACTGCCTCTGAAATATACTTCTACACTATAGGCCCCATAATTTCAGACATACTTAACACATTTATACAAGGCCAGAGATGGGCGGGGGGAAGGGTGCAGGGGAGAACTCAAGTTATTTGTTCAGATTTCATCACTGGGATAACTTTCAACCAAACATAAACTATGTTAGAAAGGAGAAAGGAAAGGAAATTAAACATCATCCAAACTTCTGACTTTTCTGCTGTTCTTAAGGATTCCCTAACAACAAACTAAAATGAATTCCTTCTTACCTGACAGCCCTACTATTTAACAAAGCACTTGAGTCCATTAATAAACTTAATACAAATGAGGTCAAAGGAAATAGCTAGGTAACTAGGAATATTTAATAATATCAACGAAACCTCAAGGACAAAATCTATTACACAATTTTTTTAATTAGAAGAAAAATATTTTAAAGAAGAAAATCAGAGCTTTTTAGCTATGGTATTTAAAAGGAACTGAAAGCAATATATTCACATTTTGAAGCTACAGACACTAATATTTTAAGATTTTTAAAATATTCTCTTGAAATATTTGTCTCATATTAATATGCTTACCCTTTGTTTAATAATTTATAATTTCCTCAAAAATTATTTGAAAACTGAATTCTAAAACAAGATGTACTTAATTAAATCTTCTTGATAAATTAAGTTGAATCTGAGAATACACATTAATATAATATTTACTGAATGTCTATTATGTGGCACACATAGGTCTCTTCATACTATCTTAATCATTCTATAAAGAAATTAATCATACCTACATCATCACTGGAATAAAAAACCTAATATAAGGGAGATACAAGTGAAACATTTTTTAATTATATACATAATGTATATTAGAAAATTTTGACTTAGGAAAGTCAGAGTGGCTCATTTGGTTAAGCATCTGACTCTTGGTTTCCACTCAGGTCATGATCTCACGGTTGCTAAGATAGAGCCCCATGTTGGGCTCCACGCTGGCAGTGCAGAGCCTGCTTGGGATTCTCTCTGTCTCTCGCCTTCTTTCTCTGCCCCTCCTCCCCCTCGCGTGCGTGCACTGTCACTGTCTCTCTCTCTCTGTCTCTCTCTCTCTCTCTCAATATATAAACTTTAAAAAAAAAATCCTTATTCTCCAGTCAATAACAGCCTTTACTCAATTAGTAATATATTTTCATTACAAAAATAATTACTTCAGATCACATTTAAGAGATTTATGACCATGTTTTATGACAGGAATAAATTCTAACATAATTGTAATTCTGTTCTAAAGTAATTCTAAAAGTAGCATAATTTTAGTGCATGAAGTCTAAATTCAGGCATACACTCTATACTATTAGGCTATATTGCAACTAGGAATAGGAAACTAGGGATATTTGAAGGCTAAAGAAGAAGCTCTCTATTCTAGATAGAGTAGGCAAAATTTCAAATAAGTAATAGGCACCAGACTAAGCAAGATGGGTTCTGGTTGCTTAGGTTCAACTCTTTCTTATATATAAGTAAAATAAATGAATTTAGAATATCAACTGATAATTTACTCTAAAATCACACTTTATCAGACTTCCTCAAAAAAGAATCTAAGAACGCCTGGGTGGCTTAGTTGGTTAAGCCTCTGATTCTCGATTTCAGCTCAAGTCATTATCTCACGGTTTCTTGAGTTCAAGCCTTGCATCAGGCTCAGTGCTACACAGACCCTGCTTGAGATTCTTTCTCTCTCCCTCACTCTCTGCCCCTCCCCCACTTGCACTCTGTCTCTTTCAAAATAAACTTTAAAAAAAAAAAAGAGAGAATCTAGACTTGAGTACTTAAGGATATAAGGAGATAAAATAAGGAATCCTTAATAAATTAAAGAAATGAAAAGGGAAGTCTTCAGACAACAGCTTGCTTTGAAAATGAATATAAATGGCAAATAGAAAATTAACTTAATGAACAAGCTTCAATATCTAGGAGCCACTATAATAAAATAAATTTCTACATGTACAAACTATTCCCCTCCCCACAAAAGAAAATGGAAATACTTTTTTAAAATCCTCTAAGATCTATGCAGCTCAATGTTTGAACAGTTGTATCAATTCAACTAGTTCTAAGAACTGAAAAACACTGAACTGTAAATTCTGCACTGTGAAATCTCAGGATGGGGGAGTAGCACCTACACTGTAAGGGGAGTGAGGAGAGAGGGAGGGGGGAAGGAAGGGTGACTAACATCTGTGTACATTAGACAAACTAATAATTCCTTAATTCACTTAACAGAAATGAACAACTCTAAATTAATTCATTTTGTTTAAGAACTGTTCACCTGGTCCTTTTTTCTTCCATTAATGATATTAAAATGGTACTTAACTGCCATTTTGAAGAGATAAAATAGCTGAAGTAAATAGGAATATAAAAGTGAAAAGGAGGAAAACAGCCTCTGTTTACTTCATTATGACCCCATATTGACCTGAGAGAAAGAGAGAGAGAGAGAGATATCAGGAAAACAGCTGAAAGGAATTCTTCCCAGGTCTCCTTGGATGAAGATAACCCAAAACCCCAAAGGGAAATGTAAAAGAAAAAAGAAAAGCAGCAATATCAAAATATACTTAGATGAATTTATGTAGAGATCTGATAATTACTAACTTCCTATTTTTAAATAAAAGATGTATCTTGAATCATTACTTTGCAACTATTAAGTACTAACTTTGCTAACTACAAAGCAAAGTAGTACTAACCACAGTAATAGTTTTGTTTTGTTTTTTTTAAAGAACAAAGCTGAATATACTTTAAAGGTAAAGGTATAATGGCATAAAATTACTCAGCTTCTCATATTTCTCCAAGGTATACACCTAATTTATGCACAGGCTTACTTTTAAGCAGGCACTCTTGATGATTAGTTAACTCAATGTAGAAGTATTAAACTACAAATGACTTCGAGAAAAATGGTTATGCAGAATCTCTGAATTCTGTGTTATTTGAACTCTTATTCTAGGCTCATTTTTCACTCTCTATCAAATACTATATCAATTTCCATTCTCTTTAGAAACAAAGACTATACCTCAGTAATATCTATACATCAGAATGAGTCCTATACCAGAATAACAAAGCTCCTACCCTATTATTGAATCATATAGTTATATAATGACTTCATTATCATGCTTTCTTAGCTTAAAATTTGTTAATGTACAAATAATTAAGCCACAATGAATTTAATAAATAATCATCGGAACAAAACATGTCCTTTAAGACAGAATCTGAAATCTAGTATTCCTCTATGAACAGGATACTATATAATAAGAATGCATAAATTCATTACTTCTATATTCAACTAAGCAAAATGCAGTATGATTAAACCCACAGTTGAGGATTGGTTGTAGAGTACAAAGAAGTATTTGTGGGGAAGAGGAATTTCTGCTCTTCTCTTTATTTAATAATGTTAAAGATTTCTGGGACGCCTGGACGGTTCAGTGGCTCAGTCTGTTAAGCGTCCAACTTTGGCTCACGTCATGATCTCACGGTTTGTGGGTTAGAGCCCTGAGTCGGGCTCTGTGCTGACAGCTCAGAGCCTGAAACCTCCTTCTGATTCTGTCTCCCTCTCTCTCTACCCCTCCCCCGCTTTCATCCATGCGCGCTCTCTCTCTCTCAAAAATAAACATAAAAAAATTTTTTAAATAGTGTTAAAGATCTCCATATGAAAAAAAAAATCTCTTCTCAATCCCTCCAATCACAATGACCTTAATGATTTAATGTGAAAAGAAATGATGGTTTCCTTTTAACTATTTGGGTTTAGAGTTGTCTGGTTAATTCTTGGTTTCCTGAAACTGTCACTACTCTCAGTTGGCAGAGGTATGAATTACTCTCTGGTATTTGCTAACCCTGGTTAGAAGATGCCATACTGTTTGTCCCCCAGACCCAGATCCTAACACCACACAGGTTAGCTGACCTCATGATGTAACCCTCATACCAGCATCCCCAGGCTTCAGGTCATGACCTATGAATTAGCATCCCGGAAGTAGGGGCCATACACAGTTTCCCTCATAGAACTGAAAGACATGAAACAGTAGTAACTTCCTATGACTTTCTTATTTTGGTTTTCAATACGCTAAACAACCATCCCTCAAATCTAAAGGAAGATAATCAGGTTCCCAGCACTGTCATGTACTTCAAAACAATTAAACTGAATTCCCTTCTTTAAAGATGTCTATAGCATACATGTATTCACGTCAAAAGAATCACAGTGATAATAAAAAATCATTGGAAAAAGATTTTACTCATGTTTCCAGACATAAATTTTGACACTATTTTAAGGCAATTATCCATTAAAAACATTACCTAGAAGCAGCCACAGGCCCTCCTGATTCCACCACCACCAATCTCTCCTGTGGCAAATGGTGTTAGCTTGGTATTTCACCTGTGCTTTACCAAATTATTCCATGTGCAACTGTAAGTATATACTTTCTTAACAAATTTCTGCCACAACGTGCCATAAGAAACATTAACACCTAAGAATAGTAAATATATAAGATGTCTGCGTCATATTGTGCAGAGTAGATCCCAGATATGCTTTTTAATTTTTTTCTCAGCAGGGGGAGCTCGCACTCTCATCTTGAAAGTCTAAGTATACAATATGGAAATTTAAATTTTGATCCCAACCATCAAATTTCAGTATGTGTTAGATTACCCTACTGAACATCTCCACAAGCAAAAAAAAAAAAAAAAAAAAAAAAGGTCAAGTCTGACAAACTTGAAAATTTACCTTTGTCTTGAAATTCCTGAAGATAGCTGGAAAAGAAAGCAAGAACATTATATTTTAAAATGAGGGTTGACAAATCAAAACAAGGTCTAGTCATTGGCAATAATTCAAATCTATTTAAAATTCTGTATTACAGACACACATCTACAGAAAAGAGTACTTCCCATCATGAAATGACAATTCCAAAAGCCTTATGGATTTATAATAAAAGTATTTTTAAAGACTGAAGTTAGAGTAGTAAAACCAGAATCTTTAAAACCCACTACATACATTTTACTCATTTCCGTATCTAGAGGCATTTATGTTAAAATTCTCAACCTAACCTTTATCCTAGCACACAAACCCAATACGTCCTCAAAAAATCAAAACGAACAGTTGGATTTTGCTAGAATGCGTAGAAAAAATATATAATCAAGAAGCTCTACCAAAAAAAAAAAAAAAGGATAATATGAGAAGCATCTCAGTTTTTAAAAACTATTATAGAGGACATATATTTTGTCTTTACAGTATTTAACACTAATTAAAATTGGACATAAAAAAGTTAATTCTGTGATAATCAATTCTTTATTAAAATGGTAACTACGAAGTTGCTTCTAAGTAAGAAATAAGTAATAAATGGCAAGTAAGTGACTTACATAGACTTTACATCTTTTATCTTCTTAATAAGGGATTCTCTCTTCTCCTTTGCTTTCTTGGATAAATTTTCCCCTCTCAGCGTGTCTGCTACAAATGTTTCAACATCTAAAGCATGAAATATAAGAAACAGGATACAAATTATTTGAAAGAATCATTTTTTGTGAAGATAAATAGGACAATGATTGTTTCTACCCATAAGTGTTAATATCTGTACAATTTGTTACAGCTATTTATCAATCAGAAGCATAAGAGTTGAAATATGTTTCAAATACTAAGTTGGACAAATCTGTTCACCACTTAGCTAATAAAATGTGTATGCTCTACTTATGCTTAGCACAGCAAATGCTATGTGGATGTCTGGCATCATTAAACCAGGGAGGAGCACACAAGTTTTAATAAACTATGGTGCCTCATAAAACAAATTCTCTCATATAAAAGCAAGCACAGAGCTTTTATGCATCTGTTATTATCATTTTATAATATTTTGGAAGTTCCTGTATGAACAGGTCATTCACGATATTATATCAATATAAGCTAATGTCTCTGGCAAGGGCCTGTTTTTCCTAGTGTAATCCATTCTGAGGTATGTGCAATATTGAATGTTCTAAGGGAAAAAATAAATCCCTTTTTCTAGCCATGATGCCCAGATCAAACCCTCCTCATTCCTACCTGCCCCACCCATTCTGACCAGCCACCTTCAAAAATTAAAACATAAACAAAAACAAGAAACAAAAATTCTGTTGTGTGGTTTTGTGTGTTCTTGCTTCCTACCTTGGTATTACCACCTGGAAAAAAATTTTTTAAATAAAGAAAAGAAGTAGGAAAAATACATTTGCCCACTATTTAAAAATGGAGTAACCTAGGAATAAGATTCCTATGGATACATATAACATTCCCACAAAGCCTCTTTTTTTTTTAATTAAGTAATCTTGTAAATTATTCTGCTTTCTAGTTCTCTCTAGTACAAAATTCCAACTAATCCTACAGCCCCATTCTTATTGTTCATAAAACATTGTGCAACTTTAAATTAATTTTATATGCCGAAGTTCAAATCTTTGAGATATGTAATATAAAGGATACCGTGAAAATTTTTCAAAGTAGGTATGACTGTAAACCATCCATATTTCATATTGAAAAGGCGTGTGTATATTTTACTTTCTTTTTATTTATTTAACTACTTTGTCTCCTAACTCACACTGACAAAAAGATAGTATCAATGCATGTGATAACAGTATATATAAGTAATTCAAAGCAGTGTAATAGTCTTTCAACTGTACTTTTTTTAATTAACAATTTAAAACCTAGTATTTGAGACAGAATGTTGTGATCGATTTTAAATTCTTGATTACAAAAATATCTTGATCTAATAAGCAAGGTAATTAAACTGTTATTCCATATATTCGTAATAAATGTATAGAGGTAATTTTTCACTAAATCAATATGACAAGTGAAAGAATTAAAATTTAATCTTGGAATAATTTTTTTAAATGGCTTTCTGGTTTGAAGTCCATTAATGACTAATGTTACAAGTAAGTATCAAGATGAAATGAAAGCAAAATGTCACAGCTTCTCTTTACTTGAGGCGTCCATATTTTGAAGAGGACATAGAGACTTAATCCATAACCAGTGCAAATTAGACTCAGGTTTCTAAAGTGAGTTCAAAATAATGAAACTTTTTTTTTTAAAGCACTCTCTCCTAAACTCTTTAATTTTTGTACACAGAGAAACAAGCAACCTTTGAACATTCAGACATTAGCTGAAATGGAAAAGATCATTGGCTTCTCTGGGATGGTTACAATAAATCTAGTAACAAAGTAGCACAAGGGAAGGAGAAGCATGTCTATTGCGGATTCTTTCTTGCAACTGGACTCAGTACTTGGGAGAGGCTCTGGCACAATGATCGGTGAATTGTCTGCTTAATGTTACTCTCACTCAATGTTTGTCTTTAATTCCCTCATCCACAAGTATTTAATTGCCTATTTTACATTTTCATTACACAATCCAAATTTAAACAAACAGGGGGATCTATTTTCAATCTCTGGAAGCAATAACAGAAGGAATTACAACCCAAGAGTTATTTCTTTAAGAGGTCGTTTTCAGTTGTATAAAAACTCGGAAAACATAAAAAGCTGCAACGCTCTATATAGGATTTCCTAACACTCCCCCCCGCCCCCGCCACCAAATATTTTCAAAATACTGACCCATGCTATTTCATGAGGAAATGCTTGCTGAAAGAGTATGTGACTGCAGGAAGAATCCGTGTTGTTTGTTGGGGAGGAGATCGGGCAAGGGAAAAGATCTGTATGGGAGTAGTCTTGATGTAGTTACTCTTACTCTAATCCCAGAAAGCGGTTTAAGGCGACTAAAAAGATTTAATAAACACCGATTTTTTAATAAATGATTTTCCAAGAAGACGTGAAAAGTGTAAGAACTGTTTTTGCTGTTTTCTGGTGGGGGGGGTTCCTCCCCTCTTTTTTTAATAAACAACTTAAGAACTTTAAAGAGGAATTGATTCCTGAAATCTTAGTTTGTTGGTGCCCACAGATTCCGTCGGTTTTGAAGTTTTTGAAATCTGGGCTATTTCTTAAAACCCACGCTGTGCCCATTTATTTCCAAACTGAACAAAACCAGCCTCTGCCGGGCACCGGACCCCCTCTGGATGTGCGGGGGACCTTCCACCGGGTCCCCGCGTGAAGCAGGCGCCCTGCTCGCCCGGCGCAGAGATAGGGGGAGTGCTGCAAAGTTACTTGGGCTTTCCTGGCAGACATTTCGGCTCCCCACGTCCTCAAAGACTCGCCACTCCGAGTGTTAAACCCCAGAGTTTGGGTCTTGGGCGCTGTGAGCAAGGAGCACTGGGTTTGGGGCAGCGGCCTCGCCAGACAAACGCGACTGGATCTGCGGCTTTGTAGCTCAGAGCCAGGGTAATATTTCAAAAGCGGGCAATAAAAGTCCTGGACAAATCAAGCGCTCCTCCGGCTGGTCAGAAAAGAGATTTGAAGCTTTTTATTGTGCTCTGCGTAGCCCTGCAAACGATAAGCTGGCAAGCGTGTTCGCCCTCTTCTACCTTGCTTTAGGGGTCGTGTCTCTCGGTTAGTATGTAGATTTCACTGACTCCAGACTGCCTGTAATTCGGGGAACAGCCGTAATTCGATTGCAATAAAAGGTCAGCCTGGCTCCTCGCTAGCCTCTTGGCCTGGTGAGTTAGAATTCCTCTTCCTCAGAGGGAGGGGTCTCCATCCAGGCACTCACCAAAGCGTGGGGACCCGCCCGGCGCGTGGAGAATACGCAGCTCCGGGGAGCCTAACCCCCACCCTCGCCCCTCCCGCAGCCCGCAGACCGCAGGTCAGCGCCGCTGGCACTTAACCCCAGAATTAGCCCCATCTCCATCAGCCTCTGCCCCCGAGTCATCACCAAGGAAAGAGTCATCTCAGAGAGTATAAATGTGGTAGTGATTTTTTGCTCCTGTTACACCTTAACACAGTCAAGAATAAACCTTATCTCCCGGTACAACTGTAAAAATCTGGGGGAGAGGGCCCTGAGAAGATCAGACTTCAAACTGCTCTGTAGATAACTGTTAAGGTCGGAAAACAAAATTAAAAGATGACATCATGTCTTGGCTCTGCAATCCTCAAGCAGCGGGAAGTTAAAATCTCTCAAAAGCCATCGGAACCCCTAAGAGGCAAGCACCTAACATACACCAAATCATTGAATGGTACTCCGATTTCCCTTTCTTTTCTTTTTCTGTACATATGGACCCCCAGAAAAACTGCCCACTCTTCACGTCTTCCCTTAGAGCCCAAGTGGCTATGACAGGTATCTAACACATCACACACACACACACACACACACAGAGAGAGAGAGAGAGAGAGAGAGAGAGAGAGGCTAACCGTTCTCTACCAACTTCCATCTGGATCACACAGTAAAAAACTTGGAACCACACAAGGTTAGAGCAGCCTGGAATATGACTTCCTGGAAGGCTGTAAATAAGCCACAAAGGTAACACTTGATGTCTTCTGCCTCCTCTCCTAACCATGGAAAACCACCCGGAGCGTGCATACGTGCGCGCGCGCGTGCACGCGCACACACACACACACACACACACACACACACAAAGAGCCTCTGTGCTGGCCTGAATTGTATTGGAGAGGGGGGCAAGAATCGGACTGAGTCCACTACCATTTGCTCAGCTCCAGATCAATAACATAAGTGTAAAACCAATTACACCTCACCCCCAAATGGCTTTACTACTGAATTCCACATCCTTCTCTACTTTACAAATTGGGCCAGGTTTCACTATAAATTCATAAAGGTACTATTACTAAACTTAACATGGTAAGAATCCCAGCCAACCTTTAAGCTGACATCAGAACAAAAAAATGGGCTTTTCTTCTCAGCTAAAGTGAGGTATGGTCTGACCAAACACCTACTGGTAAAAACATAAAAATCAAATAAGCGGGGCGCATGTAGATCAATGGAGCCAATGCCCAAAGTTGGAAAATGGCTAATTTTAAAGTTATTGATTCCCTAATCAATGTCTTTCTCCTGATTATCTAGCATTTTTACAGGTTATGGTTGTATTGTGAATTTTCCAAACATAGAAGAAGAGACATGAACAAGCACAAGGAGTTCTCATAGTACAATAGGTAAAACAATCCTAAGTCTTACAATCCAATCATCTGATAAAATTTTCAAAATTGGCTTTGGAGGCTAAATGATTTATTCTGATAGAAAACTGGGTTGCTGAAGAATATAGATGAACATCTTTCACCTCAAAAAGATGACTCTTGATAAATAACACCTTATACTAATCCAAATCTTTTTACCACGCATTTTCAAAAGAAGCCACAGTGAATAACACATTAGTCTGAGATTTACACTAGATTCACTGTTAGGTAGCATCTATTTTAATGTGTTCAGTATGTGATTGAAAAAGAAATGTAAACTCAGTGGGATGAAAAAGATAGACTTGGCTTTAATTGAAAAAGACAAACTTAAGTGAATAATGAGTATATAAAAACTAGCCCATGCCACTTTCATCACCCATATATGACACTTAATCTTAAATTTATGAGAGACAACTGAACTGTGTTTCAAATCACCAGAGGGTTTTCCAATGCTGACGTTTCTGTCTTCCTTCTAGTAATATTTTAATGCTGATAATGTAGGGATAAATTCATTTGGAAATTTTTAATACACTTCTCATTTTTCAATGTATTTAGATTCCTTTTTTTTTTTTTTAAAGAAAGCCAGTGATAACTTGGGTTGAGTAACTATAAAAACAGTACATACTATCAAGAGCCTTATTTAGTAATCGGAAATAAAAACACTGTCAATGGAAAGTGATGGTGGAAAGCAATCCAGCCAAAGATTTCCTCCTAAGAAAAGGTAAGATATTATATGCCTAATAGAGGCAAATATTTTTTTTTACTATCACGTCTTAATTCATCTACATTATTTGACCCATACAGGAAATTGTAAAATTGTGATCCCTTGACTTACAAATACATATTCCTGTTTCTGGAAGAGAAAACCTAAGAGGTGTCATAGGCTGATTTCATTTTGAGATCAAATGTCTTCATATCAGCTTTATGCTCATTAGTTATTACTGCCAAAACAGAGCAGGCTTGGTCTTGCTCTTATGAAAATCCAGGTGTTAAAGAAGTAGGTGACTATTGGTGACTCAGTAGGTGGCACTCTTCCCTTTACATACTCAGCCAATGCCCCAGAAGGAAATTATGGGACACTAGATGTACCATAAATAATTCTCATAGGAAAAATAAACCCAAAATGTTGACCAAATTATAAACAGAACTTAGGAAAGGTAGAAATCAAACCATACTATTCTCAGTATTGAAAAAAGTCTCCCCCTATTTCAACGGAATGGCATTCTTTATAGATTTTAATGTGTGAAGTTAAAAAAAAAAAAATGTTCTGGAAATCCCCAGTAGGGGAAAATGCAATATTTCTAACCAACACTGCTGTGTGAAAAAATGTCAAGGTCACTTTGCAGAAACGATATAGCCACTTTGTTTATTGTTTGTTTGGTTTGGTTTTGATTTTTCAGAGTACCGACAACCACTATTTTCTTCTTTTCATGTTGGTTTCATTTTCTAATTTAATTAAAAGGAACTTACATCCTCTTACAGCTTCCCTTTTTAAACATGTTGTCCTAAAACAAATGTATGAAAATGAATGGGAATATCTGATTGCAAACCACTAAAGCTCCCGTATTCAAAGGGTGATTAAACAAATGAAGGGGGTTGGGAACCAGTGGTTTCTCTCACTTTCCTGCCTGCCTGGAAGAAAAACTCACATAAATCAAGATTATTCTTGCTGTTAGTCCTAGTCAAAATATTTGGATGTAGGAAAAGATTAAATGGACAAGATTTGGAATTATCCATTGCTTCCAATTATCCAGGCTAAACCTCTTCTTTCATTGTTGCAAAAAAAAAAAAAAAAAAAAAATTAAAGGTTGCCTGTAGTATATATGACAGTTCAAAATTTACTTTTAACAAAAATCTGTAAACCTTTTTTCTATTCATGTAACAGAAGAATAATACAACGCTATTATAAGAAGCAGAGGCTTTCAAGGTTTAATATACTGATTCCACAGAAATATAAATCACTAACAGTCAAAACTATACAGCCACTTTTTCAAGAGTATCATTAAATGTGAGTTAAGAATGATAGCATCTATGGGTTTTTGCATTTCTATAGAACATTTTAGAGGGGAAGGAGAGGAGAGAGGAACAAATATTGAAGCCTAAAACTGCTATAATCAGAAAGAGAAATAAAGACAGAGAAAATATTAAGATTGGTAAGAATACCTTTGAGTACCTAGCGCTACCAAGCAGTTGAAGGTCAAACATTTAACACAGAGGACATATCATGATTTGGGTAAAAGGTGCATGGAACACAAAGGGAACTGTCCAAAGCGATGTTATTTTGATAGGCATTATCTTAAGACTGGATATCCTTTTTTTCTGTAGGCAAGGGATTTTAAGTGCCTGAAAAGTCTAGTTTCTTATCTTCTCTACCTTGGAATTCTAGCACAGCATCATGCATTGTTAAGAGTGTTCAACTGTTAATTACAACCACCACAACCCAAATCTTAGCTTCAAAGAAAGTACTAGGAAATCCAGCAAGTACTTTAGGCCAATTTAAAATTTAAGCCAATGGTCTCCCTCTATAGTTTTAGTAATTTTAAATCTAACCAAGTACTATTACCCAACACACTTGAATTATGCAAATAATCACGTACAATCCCAACAGAATTTTTTTGGGTGGAAAATGTGAAAAGGCTGTGGAGAACATTTATTCCTAAAACCTCTCCTACCTCGAAAAAGATTTTAATTACAGTCAACCATAAAACATAAAGCAACTTTCTCTGAATGAGGAGTTAAAAAAGAAAACTGAAAAACACTGGCTTACTTGCTTCACTTCTTTAAAAAATATAGATAACAGATATTCGCTCATATCCATACCTCTTAAAAATGTCCTCTGAAAATAAAGTCTAAGGCAAATGTACAGTCTCCAAAATGTCAATATTTTAATATTTGTTTTTAATACTTCATGTGTTTTAATATGTGACTTGCTTTCATATGAAAATATGAAAACATCACTAAGATGACTTTTAAAGCACTTATTTCAGACATTATGCAGGCATATTAACTGACTAAAGAGAAAGAAAAAGCTAGAGTATATGGGAACTTAGCACTGGTAGATAATTTAAATTTATGTAATTCTAAGCTTTCAACTAAATTACAAAAATAAGGGCCACATGAAATATTGGTAATCTAAGGGGATCAGAGAATGATGAGTCTCATAGCCTATATATCATACTATCTGATAATGTATGTTTATGGACCAAAACAACGAACTGCCTACTGATGGGAGCTCTGAAGCTTTAAAGGGGTGCACCCAGAGGTCGGCACTTTAGTTCTTAAATTCGAAAATTCAGACCTAAAATATCCTGAAAGTGGTGCCCTCTACTTTTGGAATAACGATAAACAACTTCTCTGGCCTGGTTATTAAAACAGTATTCTAAACACGCAATTCCAGCAGTGTAACAATGAGAATGTTTACTGTCATAAAACAAAATCAGTACTCGCATGAAACTCTCCCATAATGGAATAAAAGCTGCCTTAAATCAGTCTTTACAGTTCTTTATATCTCCCTTAGTGGTACCCATTAATGACAATAAGCATTTCTTAGAGTAAAATAGTATACCACCACAAAAGCATTTATCACACTGTAATCATGTTCAGTCTCCATTCACACACTATTGGTTTTAGTCTCTTGATCATATTCATGATGCTAACCAGCAAAACAGCATATTTATTAGAAGATTTGGTCTCGCACTCCTATAATAGCAACTTGCTATTTAAAATGCCACATTTTAGATATTAAGGGTTAAAATAAGCAACTTGTAATATACATCTAAAAGAAACTCTTTTAATCCAGTTATCCATGACCAATATTGAAAGATAAATACTTCGGAGACAACTAAAGCAAAACAATCCAAATTCAGTTTCTAGAATTCTGATGCACGCAGGACAAAGTGAATGATGGTAAGAATTCCAAGAACATCAGGATAGGTAAGAATGGTGCTACCCTAAAAAGATGTATTTATGTATTTTCTACCTTGTGCAGAAATATACATCTCCATATCTAGTACAGTAATAGACTAGTAGTGGGTTCGTCACAGCCTTGAAGAACCGCATCCTGAACTCCTAACGTTAAGTTCCTGTAAATGGTCTTTTAAAACTTAAAAGGGGAAGATGAGGATGCAAAGATGTACTTTCATCGTGAGGCACAGGAAGTTGGACCTTAACACATACTTCCTTTTTTGTTTTAATGTGTTACTCGGGCTGAAAACAAGTGGCTATTTGAGAATCGAGCCCTCTCTGAAAGTCTTAAATATGAGCACAATGAATGTTTAAGAAAAATGGCAGTTTGGGAAATGACAAAACCCTGCGTCCCACAACCCCGAACACCTGTAGCTCAAACACCTTTTTGCGTTTTCACACCCTTCTTCTCCATTGGTCAGACCACCAAAGAACTACTTCTTTGACTTCTGATCCCTTCCCAGTTCTCACACACGTACTCATTATCATTCCGTCTCCCTCCCTCGGCTCGCTCTCACACACACGCACACGACGTCCTCACGAAGCATACAGAAACGTCCTGATCCAATTAGTGTAGCCCATCAACAAGGGCTTCCCCAACATCCTCGGACCAAATTTCAACACACGCCCACTCCCTCCCTCCCAGCCCTTTTCCCCCCTTCCCAGTCCCGCTCCCCCTGGCCAGGCACACGGGAAGCGTGGGGAGGGAGGGTATAGACTCTGAATGCTTCTGTCCCCACCGGCTCGCCGTCCCCTCGCCCCCGCCCTCCGCCCCGGCAGCGTTGCCCGCCCCCTTCCCGCTCTTTACCTGCCAACAGGTTCCTAATTTCCTCAGGGAGGGAGTAGGGAGAGGAGGTGCTGCTGGGGATGGGCATGTTAGGGAGCGCGAGGCGTGCGGGTGGGAAAACCTGTGCTGAAAAGGGAAGCGATGGGCTGGAGTTGCGGCTGCGACCTAGACTCGGGCTAGCGGTCCCGGTGAGGGCGGCGGGGCTACGAGTCCGGACACTGCCGGGCCGGGGCTCACAACAAGGAAGTCACTAAAGCCCCAGCCGGCAGCTGCCGGACTCTGGGCCCAGCCCCTCCCGGCAGATCGGGGCGGGGCGATGGGCTGGGAGGAGAACCAAAGGGCCTGAGGGGCCGAACTGCGCATGTGTATCCTTCGGTTTTCCTAGCCTCGGAAAAGAGCCTCAGTGCAGGCCACACCCCCCTCTACGTAAGGGAGCGGGAGGAGCAGCTGGTGGGAAGGGAGCGGACTCGGGCTGCATCAGCTGATCCGGAGCCTGAAGCGCCCTGCAGCCATTTTGGTTACTGGTACCTCCACAACTGCTGACCGTTTCTCCAGGATCCCGAAGAATAAGGTATCCATAGTGCCTCTAAGTTTTCCGATTAAGGGACCTCTGGCCAACGGTAAACCCGGCCGAGGATTAACACCTCGCGTAGTAACCCACAGGGGATTTTCGACTTCCCCAAACTATTATGGCCTCCTTTGTCCGATTGAATGAGGTAACCAAGACCCATCTTCCGCCAGTCTTCCCTGAGAGGCCAGTCTGGAGCTGCCCCAGAGAGCAATCCGATTGGCTCTTAAAATTACTTTTCTACCCAGTTCTTATTTGGAGGGCGGCTTCTCCCGGTATGAAGAAGTAAGGAGTTCTAGTCACTGTCCTTTTGAGTTAAAAAAAAAAAAAAAAAAAAAAAGCTAAGTAGACATCGATACTACTGTAAACATCAAAAAAGAAAATTGCTAGTGATTAGTAGAATGGAATTATAAAATGTGTTCACGCCAACCTGATCGTTTAGTCAACAGAATACTTATTGCATGTCTTCTATCTGTAAATTTTACAGATTTTCTCTAAAACCCAAAAGGCACGTTCTTTTGTCTTTAAAGGTGTGGGTGTGTATTCTATATACTGTGTATATTCTATCTATATGTGTATATTCTGAATACGTGTGTGTGTTTATATATGCTTAATCTCGGCCCCCTTCATATGGGAACTGCCCTGGCAAAGCTCTTTCCTTCATGTTACAGTTGTATTTTGAACATTGTATTGTGGTTCCAGTCACAGTGTAAATTGTTTATTCCTCTATCCTCCAACCCTCACCAAATCAATAGTCCTTAAATTTCAGTTTGCATTAGAATGACAGAACAATTAACAACACAGAGTCTCAAGTTCCACTCCCAGAGATTCTAATTCTGTCTGCTTAGGGTGGGACCTGATTATCTGCATTTTAAATAAGCTCCAGGTAGTTTTGATTCTAGACATACTGATGTTTGTTGGGGTGTTTTGTTTTGTTTTTAAGTTTTAGCATACAGTACAGTATTGGTTTTAGGAGCAGAATTCAGTGATTCATTGCTTACAACACCCAGTGCCCATCACAATAAGTGTACTCCTTAATACCCAGCACCTATCTAGCCCATCTCTTACCCACCTCCCTCCATCAACCCTTAGTTTGTTCTCTTTTAAGAGTTTCTTGTGGTTTTGTTTCCCTCTCTTCTTTTCCGCCCTTCCCATATGTTCATCTGTTTCGTTTCTTAAATTCCACATCTGAGTGAAATCATATAGAATTTGTCTTTCTCTGATTGACTTACTTCATTTAACATAATACATGCTAGGTCCATCCATATCATTGCAAACAGCAAAATTTCATTCTTTTTGATAGCTGAATAATATTCCATTGTGCGTCTTTTTTTTTTTAATTTTTTTAATGTTTATTTATTTTTGAGAGAGACAGAGTGTGAGCAGGGGAGGGGCAGAGAGAAAGGAAGACACAGAATCTGAAGCAGACTCCAGGCTCTAGGCTGTCAGCACAGAGCCTGATGCAGGGCTGGAACTCACAGACAAGGAGATCAAGACCTGAGGCAAGTTGGATGCCCAATAACTGAGCCACCCAGGCTCCCCTGGACCATATCTTTATCCATTCATCAGTCGATAGACATTTAGGTTTTTTCCATAGTTTGGCTACTGTTGACAATGCTGTAATAAACATTGGGGTGTATTTATCCTTTTCAATCTGTATTTTTGTATCCTTTGGATAAATAGCTACTAGTGTAATTGCTAGATCATAGGGTAGTTCTATTTTTCATTTTTTGAGGAACCTCCATACTGTTCTCTAGAGTGTCTGTACCAGTCTGCAATCTCACCAACAGTGCAAGAGGGTTCCCCTCTCCCCGCATCCTTGTCAACAACCGTTGTTCCCTGAGTTGTTAATTTTAGCCATTCTGATAGGTGTGAGGTGGTATCTCATCAGAATTTTGATTTGCATTTCCCTGATGATGAGTGATGTTGAGCATCTTTTCGTATGTCTGTTAGCCGTCTAGACACCTTCTTTGGAAAAGTGTTATTCATGTCTTCTGCCCATTTTGTAACTGGGTTATTTGTGTTTTGGGTGTTGAGTTTGATAAGTTCTTTATAGATTATGGATGGTAATCCTTTATCAGATATGTCACTTGTAAGTATCTTCTCCCATTCCATAGGCAGCCTTTCAGTTTTGTTGATTGTTTCCTTCCCTATGTAGAAGCTTTTTATCTTGATGAATTCCCAGTAGTTCATGTTTGCTTTGTTTCCCTTGCCTCTGGTGATGTATCTAGTAAGAAATTGCTCTGGCCGAGGTCAAAGGGGTTGTTGCCTATGTTCTTCTCTAGTATTTTGATGGTTTCCTTTCTCACATTTAGGTCTTTCATCCATTTTGAATTTATTTTTGTGTATGGTATAAGAAAGTGGTCCAGGGGTACCTGGGTGGCTCAGTTGGTTGAGCGTCTGACTTCAGCTCAGGTCATGATCTCATGGTTCGTGGGTTTGAGAGTCCATTTGGGCTCTGTGCTAATGGTGTGGAGGCTGCTTGGGATTCTCTCTCTCTCTCTCTCTCTCTCTCTTCCTCCCTCCCTCTCTGTCTGCCCCTCCCCAACTTGCATTTTTCTCTCTCTCTCAAAATAAATAAATAAACTTGAAAAAAAAAGGTCCAGTTTCATTCTGCATTTTGCCATCCAGTTTTCACAATACTGTTTGTTGAAGAGACTGTTTTACCCATTGTATGTAGACATACATACAATTCCTACATACTTTCCTTTATGTAGACATCCTGAGATTTGATGTTGAGAATCATTTACCACTTTCCTGCTCCTGTATGGCACAAAATTTGCCATAACATATTTTTCATCCCCACTTGGAACCTTAAATCCAATAGAGTAATGGCTCTATTAATATTCCACACAAAAAAGTCTCAGACAGTAACAGTAAAAAATTAAGTAGTCAAATGCAATGATATTTTTGTATAATTCTGTAAGAGGTACAACACACACTAATTAGAAAAGGAAAAATTAGAACATGTTGGAGCCTGGCTGGCTCAAGTCAAAAGAGCATGTGACTTTTAATCTCAGGATCATGAGTTTAAGCCCCACATTGGGTGTGGAGATTATCTAACTAAATAAGTAAGTAAACTTTAAAAAAACAGGATAAAAAGTTTATAATGGAAGTAAAACACACAAATAACAATAATAAAAAGACACACCTAAAACAAACCCACTCCCTAAAATGGAATCTGAAATTCCTACTCAGATTTAGAAATGTGATGAATTATATAGAAAGAGTACTGAAGGGGTGCCTGGGTGGCTCAGTCAGTTGAGTATCCAACTCTTGATTTTGGGTGGAGCCTGCTTGGAATTCTCTCTCTCCCCCTTGCTCTGCCCGTCCCCCACTTGCACTCTCTCAAACTAAATAAACAAATAAATAAATAAATAAAATGTACCTTATTTTTTAAAAATACTGAAAATTAGGATTGTTGTTTTTCACTTGGTCAGTAAATGTTTTTTTTTCTTTCATAGTTTATTGTCAAATTGGTTTCCATATAACACCCAGTGTTCATCCCAATAGGTGCCCCCCTCCATGCCCATCACCCCTCTTCCCCAGCCCCTTCAGCCCTCAGTTTGTTCTCAGTATTCAAGAATCTCTCATGGTTTGCCTCCCTCCTTCTCCCCAACTATTTTTTCCCTTCTCCTCCCCCATGGTCCTCTGTTAAGTTTCTCCTGATCCACATATAAGTGCAAATATATGGTATCTGTCCTTCTCTGCCTGACTTATTTGACTTAGCATAACACACTTGAGTTCCATCCATGTTGCTACAGATCGCCAGATTTCATTCTTTCTCATTGCCATGTAGTATTCCATTGTATAGATGAACCACATCTTCTTGATCCATTCGTCAGCTGATGGACACTTGGGCTGTTTCCATGATTTGGCTATTGTTGAGAGTGCTGCTATGAACATTGGGGTCCATGTGCCCCTATGCATCAGCACTCCTGTGTCCCTTGGGTAAATTCCTAGCAGTGCTATTGCTGGGTCATAGGGGAGTTCTAGTGTTAATTTTTTGAGGAACCTCCACACTGTTTTCCAGAAGGGCTGCACCAGTTTACATTCCCACCAGCCGTGTAGGAGGGTGCCCGTTTCTCCATATCCTTGCCAGCATCTAGAGTCAAATTAGGATTCTTTTTGGTGGAGGTAAAAGTAAATAGTCTTTTTACAACACAGGCCCTCCAACTTCAAAGAATTGAGAATTATTATTCTTAAAAACTACAAAATTCTCTTCCTTCCAAAAGAAGAAAGAAACTATTTCATGGACATTTTATATTAGCGAGGGTACTTTCCTCCCTTTACAGTTATCACATATAATTCTTTGTCTTGTCACATTTTTTATTAAACCAGGCCTCCAAATGTCCCTATCCTTTGTTTCCTTCTTGAGAGAACTGACCACATTTTTTCTTTATTCTTGTGTCTCATTTATTTATTTATACGCCGCTCATTCCACAAAGGAATTGAAGTGATTTACTCTTGTATCAAATAGACAGTTTTCTGGAGTGGATCAAATGGACAGTGTCTACACTGCTCATTATGACAAGCCATTCTTGTTAGTGAGAGACAGGAAACTATTAAGATTGCCTTAAAATATATAGCATCTAGTAGTCCAAATAAAAAAAGGCAATAACAGAAAATGGACTTTTTGTATGAACCACATTTTCCCTACTTAGGAAACCATTCTCAGACACAGGTTTGTGATGGATTCACTTGGGCGATGCTTTGTATACTTTATCATTTTTACTGTTTATTGTTAAAGTTACTGAAATTGATTATAAGACAGAAAGAGAAATAAAGAGAGGCCAGAAGGAATATTATTTCTCTTGTTTCCGAATGTTTCCTTAACAAAAGCTAGGAAGGAAATCAAATCATACTTTACATTCTTTAAACTAGTCCTATTAGGTAAAAAAAAAAATAATAATATATGAAATTTTAAATCTCAACTAGTTAAAGCAGTAACAGCTTCCCTACCAGTCCACAAAGAAGAGACTAGAAAATCTTACAATTTGTCTTCTCAAACTGGAATCCTCCAATTCAAAGAAGATGCATATATGGATATATAAAGAGAGAACTCTATATATCCCCATAACTAAAGCTAACCCTCTTCCTGATGTTTGCCAAATTTAGTTGAATAAGTATTTGCCAACAGGCCTAGGATTAAAAGAATCTAAAGGCGCACTGAAAACAAACAATGAGCTAAAACACAATTTACTTTTTTTCTCTACCCCTCTTATCTTCCTTTAGTTTGGCATTCATAGGCATGTGGAAAACAGTATTATATTTTACACTTAGGCATTTTGTAGTCATTTGTTGCTGCATAACAAAACTTAGCTTTAAACACATAGTATCTCACGTAGTGCCTGATGGTCAGGAATCCATGAACATTTTAGCTGGATGGCCCTGGTTGCAATCATCTGAAGGCTTAACCATACCTAGAGGAGCAGCTTTGAAGAAAGTTCACCCACAGGACTGTTGGCTGGACTCCTCCATTTCTCTTTGGCTGTTGGCAAAAGGCCTCAGTTCCTCACTACATAGACTTCTCCCCAGGGCTGCTTACATGTCCTCTTGACATGGCAACTGGCTTCCCCCAGAGCAAGTGATAAAGGAGATAACACAGCTAAGACAGAAGCTGCGGTGTCTTTATCACTTAATCTCAGAAGTGGCATCGCTTTGCCACTGCCATATTGTATTGGTGACACAGACCAAGCCTGCTATATTGAAGGAGGAAGGGACTGCAGAGGCTGTGAGTCCCAGAAAGGGAGAATCACTGGGCCTGTATTGAGAGCTAGCTACCGTAGTCAGCCCTCTGGCCCCCAGTCATTCACATGTCTCTCCATGCAGAATATACCCATTCCCTCCCAAAGCCACCTATAAAGTCTCATCCTATTACAACAGCAGCTCAAAGACCAGCATCTCATTATCTAAATCAAGTCAAGATATGGATGCTGCTGCTTCAATACAGCTCCTCGAGTACAGTTCTCTCAATTTAAACACCTATGAAGTAAAAAGATAATTACCTGCTCTCCATGTAACATGCAGTGGTGAGACAGACAGAAGATACCCATTGTAGGCATTCCTATTCAGAAGGGGTAGGGAATAGGGCGCCTGGGTGGCTCAGTCGGTTAAGCGTCCGGCTTCAGCCCAGGTCATAATGTCAGTTCGTGGGTTCGAGCTCCGCATCAGGATCTGTGCTGACAGCTAGCTCAGAGCCAGGAGCCTGTTTCAGATTCTATGTCTCCCTCTCTCTCTGCCCCTCCCCTGCTCATGCTGTCTCTCTCGCTCTCTCTCTCTCTCTCTCTCAAAAATAAATAAAACATTTAAAATTAGAAAAAAACAGAAGGGGTAGGGACAGTAAGAAGTATACAGTGATTACTGGTTCATAGCAATTCTAAAATCCAACCAGAAAATGTAGACAGTCCTTGATTAAAAGCAATTCTACTCCCACCTGGAACAACTTCTCTGTGGATCTTGGTTCTATCTTCTGAGTCATCCTTCCTTGTCCATGAAAGGTAGCCCATGTTTTCAGCTGCACAGTTTGCTCAACCAGCTTTCTGTCAGTTGTCGTTTGGGAGTCAAAAGACCTGTTTTCATTTTATACTCTCACTGTTTCAGTCTCTATCAGGGTTCAAGCTAAGAAGCAAAACTACCAGAATGGAGACAGAGCTATATAATATGAAGACATTTGACCCTACACAATTTTGGAGTTAAACTATATAAGGCTGCTACCTTTGGATCTGTGGCTGGAGCTTGAAGTCCCCAAGGCTGAGAGTCAGGAAGGGAAGATAGAGGAGATTCACGACAACCTGGAATGTGGAAGCACAAGCCATGTTCATGGGGACCACCTGAAACAAAAGCTAGCTTCTGCTGCCTCTGAACCTGATGTCCTGCAGAAGCTGGAGTCCTTCATTACAGAACTGAACACACATTTGTCTCAGGAGTCAGCACTGAAAGGAGGATCCAGCGGAAGACTGAGCAATTTGCCTTATCTGGCTATCTGGCTTGGCTGCTGCTGCATGCCAGTGAGGTAAACCAGCAGGGAAGCAACAATATACATGAGCTACAAAGTGACTACTTTGTGTCACTTCTGTAAATCTAAAACAAGGTTTACAGTGAAACAAGTCACTACAAAGTATCACTACTGTAAATCTGAAACAAGAATCTCTTTTGTGACCCACCCCAGCCAGAAACACATAAAAGAGAACTCCAGGAAAAGTAGGTTGACAGATTGCAAAGCCACCAAGCACACACTTGCACTGTTATAAGAATAGAAAGGCACATTGCTGGCTCAGTCAGTGGAGCATGCTACTCTTGATCCCAGGGTCATGAGTTCGAGCCCTATATGTTGGGTATAGAGATTACCTTAAAAAAACAAAACAAAACAAAACGTGGAGTAGACAAAAGAAGCAATTGAAATCTTGCATTTTTTAAGTTCATTTATTTTGAGAGACAGAGAGCAGTGGAGAGGGAGAGGCAAAAAGGAAGAGAGAAAATCTCAAGCAGGCTCCATGCTGTCAGGGTGGAAATTAAAAATCAGAACCTTAACCGACTGAGCCACCAAGGCGTCCCGAAATCTTGAATTTATTTTGCGGCCTAATACTTTTTTAAAACCTTTTAAGCCTGTGTCTTTCAAGTCATCTAGTATTGACTTTTTAAAGAATCTTCAGAAGTGGAGGCAGGGCACCCGCTCAGTGGGTTGGGCATCTAACTCCTGATTTTGGATCAGGTGGTAATCTCAGGGTTGTGGGATGGAGCCCCACATCAGGATCCACACAGAGCATGGAGCCTGCTTAAGATTCTCTCTCTCTCTCTCTCTCTCTCTCTCTCTCTCTCTGTCTCTCTCTCTCTCCCCCCCCCCCACTCTGCCCAGCTCCCTTGCTCACTCTCTCTAAAATAAAAAAATTAAAGAATTTTCAGAAGTGAAGGTTTGTTTTTATTTTCTAAATTCTTATCCCTCTCTTCATTTGAATCATCTAGGTGGTAGGGATGAATTTATCATTGTGTAGTGCCAGCAAGAAAAAAATTATATTCTCACTAGAATTTATATGATGTCATTTACCCTTTAAAAATATGACACAGAACCCACCAGAGCCAATAGGTTCTCATAGATGCAGCTCAGTAACTTGTCTTTTCAGATTTTAGGTCATAATTATTGTTAATCCTATTAATATAATTTATTAATAAGGTAAGGAAACACATTCTCTTTTGTTCTCCATCTCATTTGCATATACACAAACGTGTGCCTTGGCACTTTGCTGCCCTAGCCATTTATTTTAATAGAATAATAAGCAACTTAATATAGACTGGATTTGAGCCCTTAACAAGGTGCTGCTAATATGTCTTTAGGATTCCACCAATTAGGAATAAAGTGAGAGATGGGGCGCCTGGGTGGCTCAGTTAGTTAAGCGTCTGACTTCGGCTCAGGTCATGATCTCATGGTTCATGGGTTCGGGCCCTGCATCGGGCTCTGTGCTGACAGCTCAGAGACTGGAGCCTGCCTCAGATTCTGTGTGTCCCTCTCCCCCTCGCCCCCCTCCCCCCACACACACACCTGTACTAGCTCTCTCTCTCAAAAATAAAAATAAACATTAAAAAAAAAAAGGAATAAAGTGAGAGAATGTCCATCTGATTCCAGAGTTGTCTGTCAGGGGCTACCTGGTTCTCTCCCCAGGTAACAGCCCTCTTCTCCCTTTAACTGACATTAATTTCCCCTATCCAGACTCTCAGTGCTTTGGAGACATCACCATTGAAGGTCAGCCCTGGCTCTGACCTTCTATCCTGGTTCTAGTAACTAAGTTTCTCTGGCCTGGGTTCAGAAACCAAGTCTCTTACCTTGCCTACTTTCAGTAAAAGGGACATGCTTGTTTTGATTGCTTTTTGCCCTCGTGGACTATGACTGTCTTACAGTCTTGATCATATCTGGTAGATTCTAGGTGGATCTCCAGAGAAGGGATGGACCTGTGTCCCTGTGTTGCCTTTTACTAATCAGGCTTGGTTAGTATGTGCATTAACAACATGCTACAAAAATGCTCATTCTCTGTATTATATAAAATTGAATGCAAACTCCTTCCTCTGCATGTAAACTGTTTTACTCCTCCATGATTTGGTGAAGTCACCTTGAACTCTGAACAGGTGCATAAAAAGATGAGAACTTTTGATTCTCTCCCTTAATTATTTTCCTCAAAATCTTTGTTTCCTACCTCAGAGTCCCAATTGAGGTACCTTGAAGATTCCATTTTATTCTTGGTTGAGAAAATACTTACAGAAAATTATCCTTGAGCTTAACCTAAGAGATAATGTGCAAGGACACTGGTATAGTTTAAGCCTTTCCAGGAGCGCCTGGCTCAGTTGGTAAAGTAACTCTTGATCTCAGGGTTGTCAGAGCCCCATGTTGGGGGCTTACATTACTTAAAAAAATATTCAATAGGATTTAAGCCTGTTCAGTCCATCCCATTCCCAAGGACGACCCTGACCTGCACTCCCTGAAGTTCTACCAATGAGAGACAAGAGAGTGGATGGTTAACTGTCTTGTCTCCCTGTACACCTCAGTCTAGACTGGTTTGAACAGTCAGGTCATCTTATACCTGGATTAAGCACTCTGTGGCTTTGGATGAAAGATAACTGAAAACAGTGTTTTAGAATTTAAAATATCCTCAGAGGAGCGCCTCAGAGGAGCCACTGAGTGGCTCAATCAGTTAAGCATCCAAGTCTTGATTTTGGCTCAGATCATGATGTCACAGTTTGTGAGCCCCACATTGGGTTCTGCGCTGACAGTTCAGAGACTGCTTGGGATTCTCTCCCTCTCTCTGCCCCTCCCCTACTTGTACGTGCACTCTCTCTCTCTCTCAAAACCATATTTTAAAAAAATATCCTGAGAGAAGTCAGGTTGTGTGGACCTTCCAAGAAATGGTTTCAACCAAGCAAGGTGTTCATGAGTATATTTTATGCTGTGTGCCCTGCTCTTTAAGATAGCTCTGGTCCCCACAATATCTTTACCAACATGTAATGAGAAGACAGTCTTCTAGAAGAAAGAAACTGAAGAGCATGACTTCTGTATTAAACTTTGGAAAACTCACATTTGGGCTCTGAGTTGTTGGGTTTTTTTTTTTTAATGTTTATTTTTAAAAGAGAGAGACATGGGGCGCCTGGGTGGCTTAGTCAGTTAAGCGTCCGACTTTCGCTTAGGTCATGATCTCGCGTTTCGTGGGTTCGAGTCCCGCGTCGGGCTCCGTGCTGACTGCCAGCTCAGAGCCTGGAGCCTATTTCGGAGTCTGTGTCTCCCTCTCTCTCTGTCCCTTCCCTGCTCACGCTGTCTCTCTCTCTCCTAGAAATAAATAAAAATATTTTAAAAAAAAGAGAGAGAGAAAGAGAGTGAGTGGGGGAGGGGCAGAGAGAAGGGGAGACACAATCTGAATCAGGCTCCAGGCTCCAAACTGTCAACAGAGAGCCCAAGGAAGGGCTCAAACTTACAAACCGTGAGATCATGACCTGAACAGAAGTCATAGGCTTAACAACTGAGCCACTCAGGCACCCCTGGGCTCTTGAGTATAATTGGCTCAATATGAACTATTTATTACATTTTAATTATTTTTGTTAACTATTTTTGTTACAGGAATTTTTTGTTTCGTTAATGTAGCTGTTTTTTTTTAAAAAAACAAATTTAGATGAAACAATTTTCTGATACACTTTTACAGTGATTTTATAGCTAAGTTAGCAGAGATTTCAGAGTATTAAATAATTAGAAACAGGCCTAGGTTTCTTTCTCTATGCAAAGACAACATAGTAAATTGCAATCAGAGTCCCTCCTCTGATTATAGTACATCTATTCTCACCAGGCAATTTTAAAATACCAAGCTGTCTTTAGCAACAGTAATTCAGTGGGTTTGTGCCTAATATATTCATGAAGGGCTTTGATGGATTTGATAACCATAAGCAGCTGTTAACATTAAATTGCCATTTAATTTTTTTCAGTGACTTTCAAAGTTGTCAATATTAAACAGTAGTGTTTTACAAATGACTAAGACCAATAAGAATAAAATTAAATAAAATTTAAGACGCTAAACCAAATTCTCCCTTTTTTCTATTATATCCCACTACTAAGCAAACAGAAAGGAAAAAAAATTTGCAGGACTATAAGCCCTGCTTTGCCTATAATTTCCATTGTATATTATTCTACTCAGTAACTCTCCCATCCCTTCTCCACCCCACCCCACCCCCATTTAATTTTTGTCCTTTTTTCATGTAGCTCAGCTTTGGCTTAAAAAAAAAAAAATTGGGAAAACTACTGGGCAGGTCCACTTAACTACAGTGACAAAAAAATTAAGCACGTTTGTCCTCATCCTCCCACAAGTAGGTGAGGAATGTGCTTATTTTTTTTAATGTTTATTTATTTTTGAGAGACAGAGCATGAGTGGGGGAGCAACAGAGAGAGAGAGAGAGGGAGACAGAATCTGAAGCAGGCTCCAGGCTCTGAGCTGTCAGCACAGAGCCCGACACGGGGCCCAAACCCACAAACCGTGAGTTCATGACCTGACCTGAAGTTGGACACTTAACTGACTGAGCCACCCAGGCACCCCAAAGTATGTGCTTTTTATTGTTATTATTTTTTATTTTTCCAGCTTTATTGAGATACAATTGACATATAAGATTGTGTAGGTCTAAGGTATACAATGTTATGATTTGATATATGTATATAATACACGATGCTTACCATAATCAGATGATTAACACATTGAGGCATGTGCTTTTTAATGATCTAGGTGCCCCCCAAAAAGCAATGTACCACAATATTATCTTAGATTCTATGCTGATGCCTTACTCTTCAAGAATTAAATAAGAATTCTAGCTCTTATATTAAAATTATTTAATTTTATTTCCTCACCTGAAATAAACTTGATCTATTATATATTATGCTTTAGAAAATATGACTCCAACACTGAAGCTGTGGCATTTGCTTTGTGAAAAAGGAAGTAAACAGATTTAAAAACCTATCTAACAATAAGATACTTTTCAATATTGTGAACGTGGGGTCTGACAATAATTGCGCACAGAGTAGATCCAGTTCATCCAGGACCAAAGGAAGATCCTGGACATGGAACAACTCAATGCATGATTAAGAAAAGGCAGATAATTTGGGATGAGCACTAGGTGTTATATGGAAACCAACTTGACAATAAACTATATTTAAAAAAGGAAAAGAAAAAGAAAAGGCAAATATTAACTCAAAAGATTATATGGGTCAAAAGTAAAAAACAACAAAACTCCTACAAACCAATAATAGCAACACAACTCAAAACATCAAGAAAAGAAGATTAAATAGGAAAGAGATTGAGAAGATATGA